GTGGATTCTCTTCTCCTCTCCTCTCCTCCCCTACCCCTTTCTTTCTTTCTTTCTTTCTTTCTTTCTTTCTTTCTTTCTTTCTTTCTTTCTTTCTTTCTTTCTTTCTTTCTTTCTTTCTTTCTTTCTTTCTTTCTTTCTTTCTTTCTTTCTTTCTTTCTTTCTTTCTTTCCCACATCTTCTCAGGTTCTGCCACACCTCAGGAAGGGGAGCTTTTCTTACAGAGCCCAAACCCCTTGATACACTGGGTGAGCTGTAGAATACCAAGCTGGAGAACAATCAGGAGAAACCCAGTGCGCTTTAGACAGCTCCAGGACTGTAGAATGAGGGAGCCATGGAAGGGGGAGATCCCTCTCCTCTTTATCTTCCAGAGAAGGGAGCATCTTCTGTAATGAAAACATTTCTTAACATTGGGTTGAAAAAAAGTGAAGGGTTCAATCCATATGGAAGAATTTTCCTCTGCAGATAGTTTTTCTCCTTAAAAAGAAAGAAAATATAAAGAAAAGAAAGAAAATATAAAGAAAAGAACTCAAATGTATACCAAGATGCTAAATGTGCTCAAGAACTTGAGACTTTGGCCAGCTGGACCCAGCCAGGGAAATGCTTCCATTTATTCAGCTTGTGTATTTAAGTAAGAAAATGTTGCCCAGCCAACTCCTAGAGAATCTCTTGTCTTGAGTCTTACAAGAAATAAGCCAATGAAGAATATGTCTCTACTTCTGAGGTGTCTGTTCTGGTGGGAGAGGGTCCAGCATAGAGGGGCAGAAGTTAGAAGAGTTTGAGCGCTGGATTCAGATGGGTGCTGCTCTTGGCGTCACATTATTGCTGTAGATCCAGGGCTTTCCTAGGAAATTGTCAATCCACTTACACCAAATCCTCTGAAAGCATCCTTCATCCAGAGGAGTGGAAATGGTGATTGGTGCAATTTCCATCACCTTCTTCAAGAAAGAGCTGCCTTTCTTAAGTTTAATTGCCAGGGATTGAGTGTTTGTGTGGGACCATGAGGTGGACCTGGGAGAATGGATTAATTAATTTTGGGTTTAAAAAACATCTCTCCTTGAGTGGCCATCTGCTCCCATGACTTTTATCTGTATGTTGTTGACGTTCAAACCTATTTCTTTGTTTTGAGTTCTCTCTTTAACATGAAACTCACATTTCTAAGAAGAAGGTGGGGGAGAGAGAGAGAGAGAGAAAGAAAAAGAGAGAAAGAGAGAAAGAGAATGGAAACTGGATGTACAATGATTGAAGTTAGTCTATGGAAGTCATTCTGTAATATGTATTCAGCGACCCAGTTTTCAGGTGCAGAAGTTGAGGCCATGAGACGGGCTGTGATTTGCCTAAAGTCTCATAGAAAATTAGTGGCAGAACTCGGACTAGGGCTTTCCCCTCAAAGTCCTGGACAGAACCTTGAAACCACGGCAAAGTAATTGATTCATACCTTCTCAGGTTGTATTATTAGGCACAGTCTGCCTTCCCTAGGAGACTGAGCTCCTCAAAGGAGAAAACTCCTCTGTGTCCTCTGTGTCCCTGCACCTCCTAGCTCAATGGCTGGCACATCTTGGGGACTCCATAGTGGGGTGGGGAGTTGAACTGGGTGGTTAAATCTGCCTTGTTGGACTCTCAGTCGTAAACACCATTAAGGGAGGCAGGCTGGTCCCACTGTCCCACTGTCCCACTCTACTGTCTCCACTCAACTGTGTCCGAAAAGGCTTAGCTTGAAGCTCACCTCATTTAAGAAGACATTCCAGACCAATTCAGTCTCTGAAGTTTGGAGCAATTCCTGTCTGTTCTCCACATTTAGGACCCTCAATATACTAATTCACATGGGGAGGAGGCAGTATTGATTCTAAGTGTGGGCTGTGGGTATAAAACCTGATGGAAGTCCTGGCGCCACCATTTTTAGCCATGTGATCTCAGGTGCCCATTCTGAGCCTCAGTTTCCTCACCTGTAAAATAACTCCAGTAACAATTCCTCGCTCATAATCTCCTCATGAGGATCAACTGGGACGAGCCACGCAGAGCATTCATCGTGGAGCCAGGCACTCAGTATGCCCCGGCTATCGTTATTGTTGTAAGTTTCCACAACTAAGTGTTTTGATTCTCTGCTTTCTGAGCATGGTTACCTCACCTGTGAACAGGAGGAAGTAACGTTCAGTCTTGGTGGATTGTTATGACAACCAAATGAGACACCACGCATGAAAATGCTTTGTAAACTCTTAAGGTTTAGGTGTGAAGTGTGTCTGCCCCGAAGATCACACAGCTGGCAAGAGGTGGTGCCCTCCTGGAATAACCACACCCACCCCAACACACACACACACACACACTCATGCAAGCATGCGCACAACACCGCCATCACCAGGGAACATCTGGTGGTCTGACTCCTACTGGCATCCTTGCTGATGGGTTATGTCAATAGCCGCTCATTGAGGACCTCCAAGCCTCTGGGCAAACTGCAGTGGAGCAGAAAAGGATGAATAACATGGACTTCACCATCAGGAAGCTCACAACCTAGCAGGGTGGGAAGCATGAGCAAATATTATTCTAAAGGAGGCCAAGTGACGCAAAAGCAGCAGCAACAGAAAGATAGAAGGAGGGGAAATTTGGGGATGACAGGAGGCTTCATGGTGGGGCTGGCATTGGAGCTGGTCTTTGATGGATGGGTTGCTCAGGTTGCACAACCGGTATCTATTTTCTCACAGTTCTAGGGGCTAGAAGTCTGAGACCAAGGATTTGACAGGGTTGGTTCCTTCTGAGACCTCTCTCCTTGGCTTGCAGATGGCTGCCTCCTCGCTGTCATGATCACATGCTCATCCCTGGGTCTGGGTTGTCTGTATCCTAACACTGCCTTCTTATAAAGATACTAGTCATATTGGGTAAAGTCACACTATCCACGTGGCCTAATTTGATCTTATCTCTTTAAAGGCCCTATCTCCAAATATATCCCAAGGTACTGGAGGTAGGGACTTCGACATATTCATTGGAGGGCAAGAACACAATTAGCCTATAACAAGTAGGATGTTTTCTATTTACATTTATTCAATTCCAAAAATATCCATAAAATCTTGTAAAGCGTGGAAAAGCACAAGAAGGAAAATAAAACCACTAAGAGATGACCATATCTGTGCAATCTTTTTTTTTAAAATAAATATACACCTTTCAAAATGGGCTTATACTTCATGGCATCTGTTGTTTTGAAACCCGCTGTTTTCACCTGACAGATGCACCATGAACTTTCCTCCTTGTTGTTAAGTATTCTTCCACAACATCACTTAAGAAAAAATTTTGTTTTACTGAAGTACAGTTGATTTACAATGTTGTGTTAATTTCTGGTGTACAGCATAGAGATTCAGTGACACATATATAGATATATATTCCTTTTCATATTCTTTTATATTATAGGCTATTACAAGGTATTGAATATAGTTTCCTGTGCTTTACAGTAAGACCTTGTTGTTTATCTGTTTTTTATATAGTAGTTAGTATCTGCAAATCCGAAACTCTCCATTTATCCCTCCCTACTCCTGTTTCCCTTTGGTAACCGTAAGTTTGTTTTCTATGTCTGTGAGCCTGCTTTTATTTTGTAAATAAGTTCATTCATGTCTTTTGTTTTTTAGATTCTATGTTTAAGTGATATCATATGGTATTTTTCTTTGTCTTTCTGGCTTACTTCACTTAGTAGGACAATCTTCAGGGCCATCCATGTTGCTGCAAATGGCATTATTTTATTCTTTTTTATGGCTGAGTAGTTTTCCATTGTGTGTGTATATATATATATATATATATATCTATCTATATATATCTCACAACTTCTTTATCCAATCATCTGTGGATGGACACTTAGGTTGCTTCCATGTCTCGGCTATTGTAAATAATGCTGCTGTGAACACTGGGGTGTATGCGTCTTTTCTAATTAGAGTTTCCTCCAGATATATGCCCAGGAATAGGATTGCTGGATCATATGTTAAGTCTAATTTTAGTTTTCAAAGGAACTCACAACATCACTTTTACTGGCTGCGTGGTGGTCCATTGTAAGAATATAGTCAACATTATCAATCAGTGGATGGTGGGATTTTGATTAGCCAAGACTCGGGTAGAGAAGGAGTAGCCTTATGGGAGGGAATGAGATGAACCCCAAGGGCACAGTAGCTGGTTACATACACCTCAGCAAACTGAGTCAGAAGAGTTCTCAGAATCAGGTAGATTACACTTATAAGAATGTACAATTTTTTTTTTTGGTAGGGATATACTGTGGATGGGAGTGCGCTGCTGCTTCTGAGAAATCCCGAAGGGTCCCAAGAATAAACCCAGCTGTACAATTTGTCTGACTAATCAGAATCTCAATTAGACCTTACAGGGCAACTGAAAGTCAGTATTTGACTCCACAGCGTGAGACTAAACATGATGAACACTTAATCATTTTAATAGAGATGCTGCTTTTTCAGGAGTGACTGTTAGGGATTAGTGATGACCACTCTTCCTGTCCCTCATTCCCCTCTTTCCTTCCCCACTATTCTCTCCTGATCAGGAGAAATCTTTGGTAAAACAAAGCCAAGAGTCAGGGACTTAGTGATAGAGATTTATTTGTCTTATTTCACACTGGAGTTTCTGAAAGATCCAAAAGGGAAGTTCAGGTTGGGCCAGGAGAGCTTCTTGGGAGGGAGAGGAGGCAGGGGGAGAAACCAGGTGGAGGATGCCACCCACTTGGATTTCAAGTGACCCAAAGGGCGATTCAATAGAGGGGAAAAAAAGCTTAGGTTTCATTTACTCTTCTGTGCAGGTGGGAGAAGAGGAAAATGTGAATTACTTTCTTGTGATCTGATAGAGAAAGAGCCGCAGAGCTGTGGAGGGGTGCAGAGATGCTGGCTACAGTGTGGTTTCTAAGACAACCTATTCTCAAGTGAGAAAGCCGGTCAGACTTACAGGTGTCTTTGGGGGCCCTTTTTATAGGATGTGGTAAACATTTATAAAGCCTTAGGGATCATACCAGACCATTTATTTAACTTTTAAAAAATTAAAGTATAGTCAGTTTACAATGTGTCAATTTCTGGTGTATAACACAATGCTTCAGTCATATATGAGTATACATATATTCATTTTCATATTCTTCACCATAAGCTACTACAAGATATTGAATATAGTTCCCTGTGCTCTACAGTATAAACTTGTTTATTTATTTTATATATACACCAGTCAGTAACTGCAATTCTCCAACTCCCAGTTTATCCCTTCCCATCCCCTTCCCCCTGGTAACCGTAAGTTTGTTTTCTATGTCTGTGAGTCTCTTACCAGACCCTTTTTTGACTGACTGTGTCCAGGGACAGATCTATTCTAACCAAGTCCAGCCGGGAAGAGTGATAAAGAATCATACAAGTCCACACATCGCCCAGGAGAACATATTCTTGTGAAAATCTTCAACCTGACACCTTGTTAAATCTGATTCTTTGAAGTGTCTCTTAGATGTAGAGAGGCACATCTCCCTCTCCAGCTTCAGGGCAGAGACCATCGTCCGCAGTTCCTTCTTAGGTGCTTGAGTATATTACTTACTAACTGCACAAGGTGGAGCACATAGTGTTTTTGTTTGCCATCTTTTGATTCCCTGTGATCACGGAAATTGTAAAGCTTTCTTCTGGTAACGGATGATGCTGACACCCCTCCCTCATGCTGTGGGCGTGAAAATGGTTATGTACGTGATTACTGCTTTTAGGAACCAGCAGCCCCTCAACTTTAGTGACACAAGAAAAGTGAATCTAGGAAGGATACAATTCACTTCAAACCTTTCACAAATCACACCACGAAAACCCAGTTGAGATCATCTGTTACAGAAAAGGTTTGCTCACTTTGCAACAATTCACCCTGTGATGACGTTAAAAGAGATAGTTCTTCTCATGCATTTAGTATCTTTTTTTTCAAAGATGAGCCTTGTTGAGATGGCACTGTGTGCCTAGCTCTGTAGAAAAGCCACACAAGTCAGGTCCCTAAGGCAGATGCACGCCCCCTCATTCTATGCAAGTGAGTTTCTGGTGTCTTTCAGTACCCACCTCCAGCGCCTAGTGAGAGAGTCATGCCACCCAGGAAAGTGGGAAATGTTACTTAGGAACAGCGCCCACGTTCCAGCAGACAGTAATTCCTGGTGGCTGGCAACCTCTCTCCAAATGCTTGCAAAGTAGCACGAGCATGGGTCTAACAGACTCTCTGCCGGAAACCAGGTTGCCAGGGAAGCAAGTGCTACATCAGAGGAAGAAGCCCAGGACAATGACGCACCAAAGGCCAAATGCTGGCAAGGTGCAAGGGCAAGAGTGGCCATCAGGCCATTTCTGTGTCATCCAGTTATGAAAGCTGACTCTATTTAATTCACTTTAGTTGAAATAAGAGGGCCAGTTCCACCGCAGGGTGGAAGACACTCGCAGTGGATGCAGTGGGAGATCGGAGGACCAGGAAGCAAAAGTGCCACCTATCCTGCATCTGTACTGATGATTGAAATGGTACCATTTCACTCTAGTTACGCTTCATGAGCTGCTGTCTGAAGAACGCAGATTCTCTCAGAAGGAAGCAGGGCATCACTGATGCCTTCAAGTTTTGAAGTTGGGGGTGTGGGGAGGGTAAGGAGTAGGCGTAGGAGGGTAAGTGTGTATATGTCACCAAAGATAGTTTGTCTCATTCCCACTGAACATAAGCTCCTTGAGAGCACAGGGTTTTGTGTCTTGTTCACTGATGTGTCCCCACATCCGAGGTGCCCTGGAACCGAGTCTGGCACATCAGAGATAGTAAATACTTGTTAAATGAATAGTTCTCAAATGTTAAGCTGAGCTAGTCCTTCTAATGAAGTGGTTGCCTCACTGTGAAGCCCCATGGGGAAAAAAAAAGTGGCATAAGGTTGGGTGCCTGTCCAGAGGTCTGGCCGTGCACTGGCCCTAGAACCCCTTGGTATTCATTCACCCATTCACTCATCCCTTCACTCATGGAACATTTACCAGCCCCTCTTCTGTGATACACCGTGTGTATTAGCCACTGGGCACAAAGATGAAAGCCAGTAAATATTCTTTAATACTTCCCATGAGCCAGGCTCTAGGGGGTACCACGGTGACTTAGACTGGGACCACATCCTTGCTAGGAGACACAGACTGTTAAAACCACACAAAGAGAGCATCTCACCCCATCTGGATGTGGAGGCGCTGGGAAAAGCTTCACAGATGCAGGCACGTGTAGGCTGCATCTTGACCGCAGGGTAGATGTTCGTGGGCCCGGGGCGGGGCGGGGCTGGGGCGGGGCGAGCATTCAGGCTGCATGTATCTAGGTCTGGCATCTCGCAAAGGCACACTGGGGCCACCCTCCAGACAACTCCTCACTCATGGTTTCCCCACCCCCAAACCTCTGAATATGTCCTTCCTTTTCGCTACTCCTTCCTCATTCATCCCAGCTTGGCTCACTCCACGGCCTGCCTCCATAGCAAATGAGCAGCACAGATGAGTTACTATTAATCCCAGTAAACATGAGAAATGTTCCCAGAGCTCGGTGGCATTATTGGTACTGGTATGGCTAGGGGACTGCAACTCTCATTTAGCTGCTGTTCACTGGGCTGGCTCCCTTGGGGACTTGCTGTGGGATGTGGGGCAGGCTGGGCAGGGTGAGGGCATTCCTGGGCTCTCTGAACCATTGAAATCCCACCAGGTCCCACCAAGGACGCACGGATGGTGGGCCACGTCTTCTAGCATAACACAGAGCCAATGTCAGTACTTGCTCTTCATTTGAAGGTGTCCAAGCCCAGGCTGGAGACCCTCTGACAGGGCAATATGGTGGCGCATTGACCCCATGGGCCTTTCCACCCACCATCCCGTTTGCTGTGATTCAGCGATTCTTGAGGTCTTGAGCCTGAGACGTCAGAATCCAGTCACATGGCTGCTACCAGAGGACACTGTTAAAATGCCACCAGAAGAATGTTGTTTTGGTGCTTTTACACATCAGCTGCTAAGCTTTGCAGGATCTTTCCCTTCCCGGGGTGAAGTGAGAGAAGAGGAAGTGAAAACAGGAGGGGAGAGTTTTCGTATAGCACCTCTTGCCTTGTAGGCAACAACCAAAAACCCCTTGGGTTTTGAACAGTGCCTTGTACTTTCTGTAGCTTGGCTCCATCCATGAATTGCCTCATGTGGTTCCCAGAGCTATCCTGGTGGGAGGCAGAATTCTGAGCTGCCCCAGATTTTCCTTTCATTTGCAGACAGGAGGCGCCCCTGGGGCTGGAGTCAAGGGCTGGGGACTGGCTATTCTGCGAGGAGGTAGCTCTTCAGAGCCCTTCTGGAGAGGTGCTGGGAGTTTCTGAGTTTTTCCAGGAAATCGGGGTGGACTCTCATCCACGCCCAGTGAAGAAAGGTCTATGTGAACGGGGATGCAAGCTGATGGTCCTCCAGCACCCAGCACCGAGTCACCATCTGCTGACCTTTTCCAGCTGTGGGACTCTCCTGGGTGTTGGGGATCCCCTACCCCAAAGCCTGGAGTCTCTGAGGGCTCCCAACTGCCGTATCTGCTGCCTAGAGAGGGGTGCTTCCCCAGAGTCCAGGAGGCATATCTCAGCCTGTCTTGTTATTTTAACACTCTTCACTGACAACCCGTTCCCTTGCCTCCCCATCAGGAGGACTGAGTGGAGACTGAGGTTCCATCTGAGCTGGAATCAGAACCGTCCAAACAAGCAGCTCCCCAACCCCACCCCGACTTAAGCAACCGGGTTATTGTGTTACCAAAACAAATTTGGGTCTGCTGAGAGTAGTAAAGCCAATTTACTGACACCAGGTTGTGCTGAAGGAAAGCATAGCAATTATTTCAGGGCGCCAAGCAAGGAGCATGGGTGACTCATGCCCCAAAGACCCAAACTCCCAGATGGATTTCAAGGAAATGTTTTTAAATTTGGAGTGAGGTAGAGGGTTGCGTGGTGTGTGGTCAGCTCATGAACATTCTTCTGATTGGTTGATGGTAAGGGAATCAGGAGTCACCATCTGGTTCCAACTGGTCTGGGGTGTACGTGCGTGTGGTCCGCATGCAGTTAACTACTTCCACCTGGTAGGGGTTTCAGTAACTGCAAAATAGCTTAAGGATATGGCTCAGAATGTTATCTATAGCCCTTGAGGAAGAACTAAGGTTTCTTGACTTTAATGGCTAAACTATTACTATTTGGTCTTGCTTGACTGTTTTCCTTTGTGCTTGCTCTCACCTCTCTGACTAAATTTGTTCTTTGGAGCTCTGTGAAGGCCTAGGAGGCTGACGGTTTTCTACAGACAAGGGGCAGGAGGAGGACATGGTGTGGGGGAGGTCTGTCCCGGGAATGCCCCATAGGGCCCTGCTTGGTTATAATTCCCTCTTTTCTTTGATATTCCTCAATCTTGAGGAGGAACAGGTGCAGGACAAGAAGGGAGAAAAGCTTTGGATAGTTAATCATAAACTCAGCAGAGGAACTTGGTTTTAGGGGGACCCGATTTCAACTGCTGCTCCTTCCATTTCTGCTCTTCCTTCCCTCCTGAAGGGCTGTCTCTCCATCTCCCCCTGCCCTTTCTGAGCCACCTCAGACACTGCACTCCCGAAGCCTTCCCTGGTGTCTGCACCCAGGACTGCTGGCTCCCACCTGGGTGCTCCACCGGCTTGTGGGACCATACGTGGCCCCTGACTGAGGCGTTCAGTGCATTCCTCTCCTCTTTCTCTGAGGGCTGGGGTCCCCCCATCTTTGAGTGTGCCCCATCACAAGACTATGAAACTCTCAGTATGTATGGAATGAACACATAGAGAAGATCTCTCATTGGCTCCTCCACCTCTGTCCACCATCTCTTTTTTGGAGAAGAGGCAGTTTGTCTGTTTCTGAGGGAGAGATTGGAGCGAGAGCCAGGAAGGAACATAGCAAATCCTCCCCCTCTGCCCCACCCACCTCCCATCATCTGGGAGAGCTGG